AAATCAGAGGGAAAACAGAATTGTGTAGGCGTCCCAATATCACCCGGGTGAATAATTAAGTAGCCGACACACCACGAATAAAAGAGGAATTTCCTAAATCTAACAGCACAGAACTTGCAGTAGACAAGCGATAGTAAGCGTAGAATGGGGTGTCGTGTATAAACGCCAAAGTTGAGATCATGAGTTATTACATATGAGGTGGTGCGTTTCACCCTATATTTATGAGGAATTACAAAATGAGCTTTTATCGGCTGTATTGACCTCATGGTAGGCTTCAGCGCGGTGCCATTCCCTTACCTGCTTTTGTGGAGGTAAGGCGCCCTCAATAGCTTTCTGGTCTTTGAATGATATCCACGAGTCCATAATCAACAGTGCCGGTGTTGGTGAGTCTGGAGCTGCCACCCACCATCGCACCCACTCTGGCATCATCATTGCTCATCATATGCATTTTATTCGCCCGGACCTCCGAATTTTGCACACAGAGGACTCCCACTCGGTAACAGGTAGGTAGGTAGGAGAAAGTATCAGTAAAGCATCAAAATGTCATAGAACGTGATAAAATCACCATGAGAGTATTTTTTAGGCCTTGAGGGAAACATTCTATATTATGCGAAAATTCGTTCTCCACAAAATCCCAACCCTAGCCTCTCGCACATGAAGCGTCCGCTTACCACTACACCAAGCCGCCGTTGAGGAAGGAGGCATATTCATGTAATTTAAGTTTTCTTATGTTAAGCTCCCTGAAACCCCCCTCATAACTCCGTTCAGAGAAACGCTCGGCAAATTTGGAAAGCAGATTTGAACTCAGCATCCAAAAACACGTCCAGCAGTAAAGGTCCCATTTCATATGGCCACTTCGACTCGGGATCCTTCCCTAGTTAGCCTACTCGGCCCTTCTTTGATCCTACGACTAAATAGAAGCAACACATTCCAATCTGCAAAATTTGCTGACGATTCGCAAAGTACCGTACTTCTGCTTTGAATCATCGGCTATATCCTGTCGGCTGTCGCACAACTCTTAAAAGGTGTTCCTGAAGATGTTCCGTGGTCTCCAAATTTCGCAAAGTGCTCTATTGAGCTATAGTTATACTTGCGGAACGAATAGAACCAGTCTTAATTGATGATATTCGTTACAGTAGTGCTCAATAGTCCTCGGTGAAATGCTTCTTCAATCGTACTTTTCAGTCGTAGCTCCTTTCCTACTCGATGTAATCATGCGAAATTTCAATATGTGTAGCATGGGTGTGGTGTGAATATTTATCACTATTAACCTGCAATCTGATCATGTTCCAGATATCCCAAAGGGCTTGAACTCAAAAACGACTGGAAATACAGATGATGGCCATTCTAAAATCTCTTTCCTTTTTGTCATGTCTAAAGTGTACGAGCGGTAATGCCGAACACAATAGATGAGAAAAACGCACATAAGGTGCGAATAAGTACAGACGTCAACAACTTTAGTTTTAGCAAAATCTGCTACCTCAACAAACACCTTTTTCTACTTGTGGATATTGCAGCTTTGCAGTCAAATAGTTTTGGGTAGGGTGAAATATGCTGCAGTTAAACATATCCAAATTTCGCGCGATTTGGTTTACTAAGAGAAAAGTTATGAACAAAAAAGCGTAAGAGCGTTTGGCCAAAGACTTTTGAGCGCTACTGTATGTAAAGTATTAATTCATGACACGTCTGAGGAAGGTACGTCTTGGAAGACTGCTGCTGTGAAACTAGCGGAAAGGGTGGCAATATTCTTAAAGAATAGGTAAATGACATGAAAAAGCCGAACAGGGTAAAGGTGGAACACAGCAGCTTTGCTGGGTGAGGAAAATAACAATTAAATTGCGGCATGCACTAAAAAGCAAATAGACCTACAGAACGCGAAAGTAGATACAATAGGCAATCGAGCTGTTGTTTACGCTTACGAATTCGGTCCAATGACAAACGGCAAATTGGGCATCCATTTCCGGTTCAGCCAAGACAGCATAATCGCTTGGTGAGGTTGTCGTGCCCCCCTTTCCCACGGTATTTGAGGCGTGCTCGACGCGGCCGATCAGGCTTTTTTAGGTGGTCACTCCACCTTACTCCAACAAGAATAACAATAATAACTACTAACAGAACGCCGACCTCATATAGGCGCTAAGGGGGGGGGGGG